AAAATTAAATTTAAATGAAGAGAAATAAATTCCTTGCACTGTAATTGCAACAGATTGACAAAATAGCCCAGTTTTTAATCAATGCATGAAGTGGCAAGCAAAATAAGTATTTTTTTTAATTTGCCAATTCTTTTTATTTCATTCAAACAAAATATCAAATTCAAAAAAAAATTCGTGGTAGGATGTGAGGTCTGGAATTTTTGATGCAAAATCTGTTTTAAAATTGCAAGCATGTTTACAGTATATAAAGTGTACATAAGAAAGTTTCAGATTCATCATATAATTTTCTAAATTTAGATAACCTAAAACAGTTTCTAAATGGTTTGAAAAGTTTTGCTTAAATAGGTTTTATTTCTGAATATATATGCTCATATTATAAATTTAAGAATATATAACATGTGCAAACATAAGACTTAAAAAATTTTAGGGGTCCTATTAATTCCAGAAATAAGTTTTATTTACTTGATGTAAATGAGATGACAACTCTAAAACGGCTTCTTCTTAAAATGATTATTACGTATTTCTAAATAGTTTTAAAACAGACACGTAGCAGATATTAGTCTCCCAGAAAATAAGAAAAGATTCCCTACTAATATTTTTAAGAACTGCACTATTCAATAGAGGAGTTTTTAAAGCTAATTAACTCTGAATTGATGCTTTACATCCCAAAGGTAAACTAATCATGCTATGAAGTTTTCCTTAGCTCAAACTAAAAATAACCAAATATTAAAAGTTTTCAAACCCTTAAAGAAAAAAAAAAAGTCTCCACTGTTCTGAATAGAAGCATACATACCTTGTCAATGATCTTTTGGAAGTGGACTTCCACAGTACAACTCTGGATGTCCCTATGTTCATCAGAACTATGGATCAGCACAGAAAGTTTTTTGGATCTGATTTTTTGTGCTCGATACCCAAACACAAAAAGCATTGAATCAATGACATTGGATTTTCCACTGCCATTTGGCCCGATAATACATGAAAAACGCTGCATAATAGAAGGAAAAAAAAAAAAAAAAAAAAGTGATATTCAAAGGGAAACAGATCCTGGCCAGTGTACATCACCCATTCCATTTGTGAACAGTTTAAAACACAATTATTCCTAGTGCATGAAACTGCACACTATTTGATAGCTTAGTTTTTACTGCCAAAGGTAAAGCAGTACAACTTATTTAATAAAAAAACCCCACACCTCAACTCAGCTCAGCTTTCTAAATTTTAACTTGTTAACTCAAAGCGATACTGCATTTAGCAAGCATGTTCGCAAGGAAAGTTTCATGATTAGCCACGTAAGTCTCTTGTGGGCACTAAAAAATATTCTTTAAACACACCCCTAAAAGATCTCCAGTAAACGAAATAAAGAGAAAAGTGTGCTTTTTTTAAGGTTTACTGACGAATGAAAACTGTACAGCATCAGAAAGTTGCACCTAACTCTTTTCTCTATTGTTCAATAATGAAAATTTAAAATATCATTACATAAGTAATTTTAAAACTTAAAATATTTTTCAGTTATTCTGAGGTAAGCTTACATGAAAATACAGGAAGGAATACTAACAGCAAAGTCTTACCTTCACTTAAAAAAAAAATGCATAAAGTAAAACAAAGATACCTTATGAAAAGGTCCCAAAGTTTGCTCCCCTGCATAGGATTTGAAGTTCTGGTTTACAATATGAGTTATCATGAGACGAGGAGCACCAGCTTCATTGGTCATTGCTGGAGGTGGGGGAGGAGAGATGCTACCCAAAATCTCTTCTAAACTTCGATTATCAAGCACCTCATCTGAGACTGCTAAAAGCCATCCAAAATAAACAGAAAAAAAAAAAAAAAAAGACTATAAGCTCTCAATGACTAGACACCTTTTAAAATGTTCAACTGGAAAAACAAACATCCTTTCTATACGACCCAAACCTATACTTTTGCCTGTAACTATTAAAATGAGCTAAGTGGAATTAAAATTCTTCTTTCCATGAACTGAATCTTTAAAAAGAGATACTTAAGATGTCCCATCGATTCACTAGTGGGTTTGTTCTTTCATTATGTAATTCTTATTCCAACACACTTTAATAGGCACTCTGCAATTACAATAGCTACAACCGTCACAATAAGCCTACAAATCTGAAACAGGCAAAGTCTTCCTAATTAATAAGTGCAAAGCCACATTTCAAGCGTCCTCACAAGTCACTCTGCAAGATTTGGGGATCGCTGCACAATGCTCTGAAAGCTGTAATGACAGCACAACTACTCTGCAAAGACAGGAAGTTTGTTACGAAAACAAACTGGCCCCCTGGATATCAGCTAGTTGTAAGCAAAGCAGCTTTTCAACAGTCACCAGCAACTTTTTCTTCAAATACAGTAGTTTTTGCCACCAATTTCAACATATTAATCCATTTGTCAAATACCTTGCTTTAATAATTGCATATCTGGCTACCTAAAAAGACCCACACTGCTGTTTTTCCAGACATTTTCAGCAAAAAACTCAACTCAATACACTGCTTCATGAAAAAGAAAGTCAAATCATTTTAAGAGTTAAGTAAATAAACTTGACATTTATTCCATTCCAAGAAATCCCATACCATTGGCTGCATATAAATTTGAAAAATCCTGCTGTTGTACCACAATTTTAAGTACAATGTTCCAGATCAGGAATATGAAATAGGCTTCATTAGGGAGAAAGTCTACAAATTGCTTTTGCACTTGTACTAAATCGCTGGTCCAAACACTTTAACTCTTTGCAAGCCCTCTTTACCATTTTTAAAGCAGTTTAAACTTGCCAGGAGTCAAGGCTTTCAATATTCCTTTCTAGAAGAGAAAAGGGCAAATCCTTTCTGGAACAGCTGGCAAATTCAGCTGAAGGCTGCTGCTAAAGCAGGCACTATCATCAAGTTTACACACCATCAGAAGCACAATACTCGGACCTACCTTGCGGAGGTTCTTTGTCAAGCTGTCTGTTGCCTTCGTTTTGCACTTCCATGTCACTGGTGGACTCCTCTAAGGGCTCTCTGCCTTTCCGATGGGCTGCTGTCGAGGTTTTGGTGCTCTTGCTTGGCACGATCTCTGTTGGCTGTTGCCCTTCCATTCCAAGCAATCAAACTACTGAAGGGATTTATCTCCTTTTCTAACATAAACGAGAAAACCCCGTGATCTAAGCATTGAACTGCAATCCCCTAAGGAATATACCTACATGTTCGCCCAGATGTTTGACTAATTTAGAAACTAAAGGCTAGAGACATTTTGAAGACAAAAATCCAAGTTTGAAGCAAAACCTAAAGCTTAAGCCTCATAATGATATATTTTAAAATACATCACCCCCCAAAACAACGGGCTGACCCTAATCTGGAGAAACAGCAAGAATCTGCCTACTGAAAACTCACACAGCTATGTTCAATACAGTTGCTATGCTCAGAGAAAGCAAGCGTGATGCTGGGGGCAAAAGAGTTAAAAGACACATTCGCAATAACAAACTGAGTAGCCATATGTCTATACCCTTCTGGAAGCTCTCTTCACATACACATCTCAGACCTGACACACGTTTTACTCCCAACAGTCCATGCTGACTTTTTTTTTCTACAGATAGATAAACAAAAAGACCTGCATAATTACAGCAAAGGCTTGACTCTGAAACAGTTTAAACCAACACACTCGTTTCGCAAAACAGAACACAACCACTACTGCCAGCATTCAACATTTAACAGAGAAAACAAAACAAAATACCTTAATCTGGCTGTGATGTTAAAGTTAAGTGATCAAGACCGAAACATTACAAAAGTCCATCAGCTGGCACTGAAGCACAGCTCCCAAAAAGTATAAATAGAAAGCAACCGATGAGAAGAAAGACGACTGCAGGAGCGAAACTCTCTCCAAAGAGTTTAAATTGCAGCAAGTGGCGAAGTTAGTTCGCAGAAAAACAGACATGAGAAAGTTTACTTCTCACAAGATAAAAAACTGACGTGGTTAGAAAGTCATCTTACAATTGGTGCCAATCATTTGACGTTTTCAGACCTACCCCCAACCCACACTCTCATGAGAGTCCTTCATTTGGGACAATGGGGGAGGGGGGGAAACGAGAGAAAGAACTCATTTTAAGGCAATTTGAGTCTATGTCCCTGTTAAGAAGTGTTCCGCAATGGCTGTCTCGGACAATTACAGCCTCTCAAAGTACCAGATTTTTATTTTTTTTTTCCTCCAAACTGCTCCACTCCAACAGAATTGTGCAATATAGACCTACTTACCTTACCAACCCTCCCCCCCCCCAGATACTTCACCAGAACGAACAAGCATTAACTACTTGACCTCAGCTTTTAAATCGCGATAAATTAGCTGCCACATACTCTAACAAATTTAACAAATTCGTGCCCAGCCCCTCCCCCGAGGCGGCTCAAAGGTGTTTGTTAAAAGCATCTCTCGACGGTCTCCTGCCAAGTGCCGTTTTTGTTACGGGGATGGCGAAGGAGAGTCAGAGGCGGACAGAAAAGCTTCCTTATTAACAGCCGATTAAATCTGATCGCGACAACCCGTGTCAGTGAAAAATTTTAGGTTTTTTTTTTTTAAAATCTGTCCGTTAATCTAAGGAGCCCAACTGCACCCTTGTCACGGTCTTTCCAAGTCGTTGTGGACTTCCTTAGGATTTCTTTCTCGTATTCCAAGCATAAAAATGAGCAGGCAGAGGTAGTTACAGAAGGGTCCCTGCTTTGTAAGCAGATTAAAATCGGGCCTCCGTGCTACCCAAAGGTATTCCCCGTCCTCGGTGGGTCTCCGACTCGCCGTCCCCAGAGGTCCCTAAGGGCACAGCGGGAAACCCGGGCCTTTCTCCCGTGGGCTGCAGAGGATTCTCTCATCCCCCCGCCTCAAGCCCCTCCGCCGACACCGGCCAGGACAGACACCCCTGGCGCCGCGTTCCGCCGCCGCGCAGCCCGGGCCCCTGAGGAAGAGCCCTCGGCGGGGCAGCCC